TCCATGCAGCCGCGGAGGTGGGCCTATTCGAAGCGACCGAAGTCCGACAAGTTTTGCCACGTTTCGGATTACTGAATTAAATCAAAAGGTTGACTCATCATTGGCCATGTTCATGCATGATTTCATCGGTTCGTGGGCCGCATTCGCTACAAACAAAACATACGTAAATGTGTTGGTCTCAAAACGGATCGCAAAATGGCGTTCCCGGTTTTCCCCCAGTTTTCACCCAGCTGAACTGTGGGCGGACAAAACTATTTCGCACCAGTTGGTAGTTGCGGTGTTGGATGGTTGCTCCCAGTGTTTTGCGGCCTTGCACAGGCTACACCCAAATAGCACCCAAAGCATTCCAAAGGAAACGGCAAGCAGTAACAGCAAAATTGCCCAAATACCAAGCCCACCAAGCACCACCCAGGTGCCGCACTGCAAGCAGCTCACCTGTTTGTTGGCATGTGTTGAGGCCTGGCCCCATAAATTGCTTGGGAACTATCAAATTCAATGCCAGCTACCAAACGGAATAGTATGTATGTATGTATGTATGTATGTATGTATGTATGTATGTATGTATGTATGTATGTATGTATGTATGTATGTATGTATGTATGTATGTATGTATGTATGTATGTATGTATGTATGTATGTATGTATGTATGTATGTATGTATGTATGTATGTATGTATGTATGTATGTATGTATGTATGTATGTATGTATGTATGTATGTATGTATGTATGTATGTATGTATGTATGTATGTATGTATGTATGTATGTATGTATGTATGTATGTATGTATGTATGTATGTATGTATGTATGTATGTGTATGTATGTATATGTATGTATGTATGTATGTATGTATGTATGTATGTATGTATGTATGTATGTATGTATGTATGTATGTATGTATGTATGTATGTATGTATGTATGTATGTATGTATGTATGTATGTATGTATGTATGTATGTATGTATGTATGTATGTATGTATGTATGTATGTATGTATGTATGTATGTATGTATGTATGTATGTATGTATGTATGTATGTATGTATGTATGTATGTATGTACACATACATACATGCATGTATATATATATATATATGTATGCATTTATACAGATGGACATGTATGCATATTGATTCCTTAAAGAAGCACACAACAAACCCCACCAAGACAAACAACTACATCCCCCTGGAGTTGCATTTGAATCAAACTCGACCGCGCCTTCAAGCACGCGCAAAGGTTTGCAGGCTGGTGCTCTGCCTGGTAGGGCTCGCCACACCTCAGGCGTCACAAGCTTCTCTCGCAAACTGGTTTGTTCGCAAAAAAGAACTCGGTACCTTATTCATGGTTGGTTTCTGTTGGTTTCCACTTGGATATCAACCAAAAAGGTGGTCCGCCATTTGGTTGCCACATGTGTGAGTGTGCGGGTGTGTGGGTGTGCGTCCTGTAGGCTCCTGGTAAGTTCTATGTGTACACAACCATGGAATCCAACATCAAGCTGCGAAGGACAATCGGCATAGGGATCAGCTTGTAGGTTGAGACATTCGCCAACAGCCATCACTCAGGGTCGGAAGCTCAACCTGTACACATACACAGCATACGCATGTTGGACAGCAAACACATTACAACATTTTGCGCCACGCTATCACTGCAAATGCCAGCCATTCCGCCGAATGAGCAGAGTCCTGCTTCGCAGTCAGTCGTGTCAGGACGGAATTGATTCAACCCGTCACAACTGGCCAGTTGTCTACAATCTCCAGTTCAAACTTCTTTGTCTACAATCTGCAGTTGTCACCCGCCACCAAACTGTTGCTCTTCTTCCTCTATCGCGTTGGAGACTCGACCAAGATGCTGTTGAACGCTTGACATCGCAACATTTCGAGTGACAACACTCTTCTAATAATATGTGTCGCATACTTCGCGCCAGCCCGGCTGCTCGCTTCAGCGAGGGGGTAATGCAGGATCGCAAGCCAGCAGTAACTGAGTTACCCGACAGATCGCAGCAAATGCGGGGCTGCACGTGGTCTCCGCCCTGCAATTCTGGTACCCCAAAAGAGCTGGAACCTGGCCCGAATCCTCAGGGACTCTGTAGTTTTTAAGGGCCAACTACACTTTGCTTCAACCAGTCGGATTTCCTCAAAGAACTCAGCCAGATTGCAATCCGGAAAATAAGCTGGCCTCCCAAAAGCCAAAGTAGTAACTTTCAAAGCCAATACTCAGCCACAAGTGCCCCATGGGCCACATCTCACCCTGTGGCCAGATTCTGGCAAGACTAATATGCAAACGAATAGTAACTTGGATGAATCGGCCCTTGTCCACAAGGATCCAGCAGGTGTTTGATTGTTTGATTCTTTGCTGCCCCAAGGAAACATACCTAGAGTTGCAAGACTGTGTCGTTCCAACCAGCGAGTCTCTGTGTAATGAATGTGCGTGTGTGTGCCTGTGACGTGCGTGTCTGTGCCTCTCTGTGTCCACGTCTGCGCGTCCGTGTCTGCATGTCCCTGTCCGCGTGTCCGTGTGTGTGTGTGTGTCCGTGTCTGCTTGCGTGTCCGTGTCGGCTTGCGTGCGTGCGTGCGTGCGTGCGTGCGTGCGTCTGTGAGTGTGTGTGTGTGGGTGTGTGTGTGCGCGTGTGCGTGTTCATGTGTGTGTGTGTGCGCGCATGTGCGTGTGCGTGCGCGTGTGCGTGTGCGTGCGTGCGTGCTTGCGTCATTGCGAGCGTGTGCGTGTGCGTGTGCGCATGCTTGTGCGTGCGAGCGTGCGTGTTCGCGCTTTTGCGTGTTCGCGTGCGATTCGCGCGCGTGCCGCCCGGCATGTGGGTGTGCTTTTGGGTGTGCATGCGCGAGTGTTTGTGTGTGTCTGAACATGTGTGTGTGTGTGTGACTGTGTGTGTGTTTGCCTGTTTGCGCCTGTGTTTGTGTGTGTGCGGTGTGTGTGTGTGTGTGCGCGTAAGTGTGCGCGCGTGTGTGTGTGTGTGCGCGCACATGCACGTGAGTGTGTGTGTGTGCATCTGTGAGAGGGTGCGTGTGTGTGTTTGCTGTGTGCATGTGTGTGTGTGTGTGCGTGTGCGCGTGTGTGTGCGCGTGCGTGTGTGTATGTGTGTGTGTGTGTACGTGTGTGCGTTTGCCTGTTTGCGCGTGTGTGTGTGTGTGCCTGTGTGTGGGTGTGCGTGTGTGTGCGCGTGCGTGTGTGTGTGTGTGCGCAAGTGTTTGTGTGTGTGTGTGCGCGCGTGTGTGTGTGTGCATGTGTCAGAGGGTGCGTGTGTGTGTGTGTGTGTGTGTGTGCATGTGTGTGTGCGCGCGTGCGTGCGTGCGTGCGTGCGTGTGTGCGTGTGTGTGGTTGTCCAGGTGTAGGTGTAGGTGTAGGTGTGTCTGTGTGTCTGTGTGTCTGTGTGTCTGTGTGTCTGTGTGTCTGTGTGTCTGTGTGTCTGTGTGTCTGTGTGTCTGTGTGTCTGTGTGTCTGTGTGTCTGTGTGTCTGTGTGTCTGTGTGTCTGTGTGTCTGTGTGTCTGTGTGTCTGTGTGTCTGTGTGTCTGTGTGTCTGTGTGTCTGTGTGTCTGTGTGTCTGTGTGTCTGTGTGTCTGTGTGTCTGTGTGTCTGTGTGTCTGTGTGTCTGTGTGTCTGTGTGTCTGTGTGTGTCTGTGTCTGTGTCTGTGTCTGGGTGTCTGTCTGTGTGTGTGTCTGTGTGTCTGTGTGTCTGTGTGTCTGTGTGTCTGTGTGTCTGTGTGTCTGTGTGTCTGTGTGTCTGTGTGTCTGTGTGTCTGTGTGTCTGTGTGTCTGTGTGTCTGTGTGTCTGTGTGTCTGTGTGTCTGTGTGTCTGTGTGTCTGTGTGTCTGTGTGTCTGTGTGTCTGTGTGTCTGTGTGTCTGCGTGTCTGTGTCTGTGTGTCTGTGTGTCTGTGTGTCTGTGTGTCTGTGTGTCTGTGTGTCTGTGTGTCTGTGTGTCTGTGTGTCTGTGTGTCTGTGTGTCTGTGTGTGTGTGTCTGTGTCTGGGTGTCTGCGTGTCTGTGTCTGCGTGTCTGCGTGTCTGTGTCTGTGTCTGTGTCTGTGTCTGTGTCTGTGTCTGTGTGTGTGTCTGTGTGTCTGTGTGTCTGTGTGTCTGTGTGTCTGTGTGTCTGTGTGTCTGTGCGTGTGTGTGTGTCGTGTGTGTGTGTGTGTGCGTGTGTGTGTGTGTGTGTATGTGTGTGCGTGTGTGTGTGTGTGTGCCTGTGTGTGTGTGCGTGTGTGCCCGTGCGTGTGTGTGTGTGTCTGCAAGGGTTTGTGTGCGCGTGCGCGTGCGCGTGCGCGTGCGCGTGCGCGTGCGCGTGTGCGCGTGCGCGTGTGCGTGTGCGTGTGCGTGTGCGTGTGCGTGTGCGTGTGCGTGTGCGTGTGCGTGTGCGTGTGCGTGTGCGTGTGCGTGTGTGTGTGTGTGGGTGCGTGCGTGCGTGCGTGTGTGCGCGCGCGCGTGTGAGCGTGCGTGCGTGCGTGCGCGCGCGCGGGTGTGTGTGTGTGTGTGTGTGTGTGTGTGTGTGTGTGTGTGTGTGTGTGTGTGTGTGTGTGTGTGTGTGTGCGTGCGTGTGTGTGTGTGTGTGCCTGTGTGTGTGTGTGTGTGCGTGTGTGCGCGCGTGCGCGCGTGCGTGCGTGCGTGCGTGCGTGCGTGCGTGCGTGCGTGCGTGCGTGCGTGCGTGCGTGCGTGCGTGCGTGCGTGCGTGCGTGCGTGTGTGGGGGTGTGTGTGTGTGTCTGTGTGTGCGCAAGGGTTTGTGTGTGTGCGTGTGTGCGTGTGCGCGTGCGCGCGTGTGCGCGCGTGCGTGTGTGCACGTACGTGTTCGCCTGTTCTCGTGTTCTTGTGCTCTCGTGATGGCGTCTTCGCTTGCGCACGCGCACGGACACGCGGGCGGGCAGGCGGGCGGGCGGGCGGGCGGGCGGGCGAGCGGGCGTGGGTGTGTGTGTGTGTGGGTGCGTGCGTGTGTGTGTGTGTGTGTGTGTGTGTGCGTGCGTGTGAGCGTGCGTGCGCGCGTGAGTGCGCGGGTGTGTGTGTGTGTGTGTGTGTGTGTGTGTGCGTGAGTGTCTGTGTGTGTGTGTGAGCGTGCGCATGTGCGTGTGTGCGTGTGCGCGTGTGCGCGTGTGCGCGTGTGCGCGTGTGCGCGTGTGTTTGCGTACACGCGTGAGCATTTGCGTGTGCGCTGGTGCGCGAGCGTGTCGTGTGCATTTGCGTGCGTGTGTGCGCGTACGTATTCGCGTGTTCTCGTGTTCTTGTTTTCTCGTGATGGCGTGTTCGCGCGCGCGCGCGCACGCGCACGGGCACGCGGGCGGGCGGGCGGGCGTGGGCGTTGGCGTGGGCGGTGGGTGTGAGTGTGGGTGTGGGTGTGGGCACGTGTGTGTCTGCGCGTGTGTCCGTTTTTTGCTTATGTGTTATTATTTGTGTCTGGATGTGTTTGTGTGTGTGTGTTGTTGTGCTTGTGTGCTTGTGTCTTTGTGTTTTGTTTTTGTGTTTTTGTGGTTTGTTTGTCTTGTTGCGTTTGTGTGTGTGTGTGTGGGTGGGTGGGTGGGTGGGTGGGTGGGTGGGTGGGTGGGTGGGTGGGTGGGTGGGTGGGTGGGTGGGTGGGTGGGTGGGTGGGGTGGGTGCGTGCGTGCGTGCGTGCGTGGGGTTGTGTGGGGTTGTGTGGGGTTGTGTGGGGTTGTGTGGCGGGGGCTTTGAGGGTACTCCTTTCATGTCGGTTGAGGGATAAACCAAAAGCAACCCCACAATTTCCGGGTTCCTGTTTTAACACATTCCCACATGCCGCCACATAACCTCATGGGTGTGCTATCCCAGCCATGCTTCTGGCATGGCTCAACCTCTTTTGAGGTGTTCCTACCTCGTTTTGCACCCAATGCAATCTTCATGCTTGGGTCCAAGGGGCTCCTGATATCATTGCCCTTTTGGAGGTCCAATTCCCCATTTTGACATATACCCACATGCAAACTACCGTGGCTACCAGCACAGAACAAAAGACAGCAATCTGGGCTTCCCCTTTCAGCCTGGGGAAATCAAAAGGAAACCAAGCGTTTGGGGGTATCAAATTTGACAGGCACCACGAAAAGTTCAAGTATCTTGAAAGATACGAGCAAATCCTCTAAGTGGGCTGGCATTTGGGTGTTGAGCTGTATCATTTACGGGCGGTCAAAGCTAACCTGTCACCCAAGAGTCCTTCTGCCTGGCCGTTTCTGTCTGCTGTAAAAGGCAGTGGCTGAGATGCCGTCGTGCAAATAGAACCCACCGTATAGCAGACAAGGTCCCTGGCGGTTTCGTCCACGGCCTGCATGCTTCGCCGCATCCGCTGGCGGTTGCGCGCAGCCACCCAGGACTCGATGCAGCTCCTCGGCATCCCTTCTCCTCCACTTGGGGACCATAGACTACTGGACTTTGTATCACCCGTTCGGCTCATATTGGGCGCTTCTTACAAACAGGAGACCCATTTTCTGAGATGGTGGATTTCAAACAACTGTCCCTCTAACAACCAAAAGGGGGTCCAATACCAACCCAAAGGGGTTCAACAAAGTGTGGACAGTGTCTGAAAAAGTTAAGTCCCGTTTGGCTTGTGTTTTAGGAAAACAAAAGAAATACCAACCATGTTGGGGCCCAAACACTTCTAGGGGTTGATTGCCTGCGATGTTCAATGTTCAACCATCATTCTTAAAAAAGGGATGTCCATCGTTCGAACCAACCTGTTTTCTCTGGGATTTGGCGGTCTTTAAGACGAGCGGTTGCTCCAAAGAACAAGTGAGACAAAGAGAAGGTCCGAGTTCTTCAATCAAAGGCTAGCGACCAGAATGGTCAGAAGAAGCCCGCCTCGAAAGAGATGTTCCTGACTGTCTGGAATGTTGCTTTTTCAGTTCTTCAATGGGCCTCAGGACCATGGCAAGTATCGATTGAGTCGGAGAAAGCGGTCAGCAGCAACTTGTCGCTTCCAAGTTGTGAACATTTGTGGACTAGGAAGCTTGTTCAAGATCCTGGCTTTTCACATGTTCAGCAATGCATCAGTTTCAAAGAAATCGCTGGGCAAATGCTGTTCAAGATACTGATCAAGCACCATCCATCTCACAACTAGTCATCTCACTTGAACTGTGTGGTGCTTGGGGAATGTTTTTGTACTGTTCAACACTTCAGGAGTGTAGATGCTGGAAACCCCCATTGAAATTCGCCAAGAAATTGGGGGAGTGGGTGCTCTTGTTGTCCCCTTGACAAGCTGGCGCACTGTGGTATCCCATTTGCTACCCTTTTGCGCTTTCCCCCCTCCCCCAGAAAACAAAAGAACAAAAACAAACTGTGCTTATAACCAAAGAAACAACGGCCCCTTGTCGTCAAACGCTGGGTCCAAGCCTGGGGGCCATTTGACCGACTTCCGGGACCCGGGCGCGTGCACGCCCCGCATGGAGCCGCGACAGCGGCAGGGCGCCACCAGTGGCTCGGGCCTGCGAGCACCGTTGGCTTCGCGGGAAACCAACGAAACCAACGAGACCTGCTTGACAAATTGACTGCGTGTATCTACCGCATTTTCCAACGAATGAGGGTAGATCCAAGAGCACTTGGTAAGGGTTTAATCATGCGAAATGGGAGAACTGGGGTTAGTGCTAATGTATACTTACAAAGTGGGTTGGACGTCCCAGCAATGGTGCGATACTGTGGAAAGACAAAGTGCTGCAAAACATGTGGATTGTGGGTTCTGTGTCAATCTGCACGGGAATGCACTCCCTTAACCTAGGTCGGTTTGGTTGGACAAAATAATGGCAATCGTTCTAATTTGGTTCTTGTCATTTACCAGTGGAATCGATTCCCCAAAATGACACCAACTGTGGATGAGTAAAATCCGCGTTGCACCAGTTTGATTCTTGGCTTATCACCCAAGATGCATGGGGTTTCATCCAGCCCCAACTGGTGAGAAGTGGACTTCGTCCATCTGCAGCTGTGAACTAAGGCTGCGGTTCCATATGCCAACAGGCCTGTGGGGTTTGCTAAACCCTACAAGTAGGTACAAAAGGTAATGACTACGTGATGATGTCATGTACGTTCAGGGCGAAGTGCTGTGCACGGTGCCAGGGGATGTGCAAGATCGCTTGAGCATGGCAAGAAGCTGGCAACGCGTACAGTCCGTGTCCATCTGATGGCGAGCCATGACGAAAAGGGACACAAGTCACAAGGAAACAGAGTCCCCTCGTTGGCGTTGGGTTGCACCCCTCAGTGCTCAACCAGCGCGCACGACCAGTTTCTCGATTAAATTGGACGACATGTTCCTTATGGTTGGTGGCTGGCAAGCCTGCTTTGCGGACCCGCCTGGTCTCCTTTTTGTGGAAGGTTATCCCACGAACGCTTGCCAAGTGTTCGTAGCGCAAGCTGTTGGATAGTCCCCTCAGCGCAGCCAGCTTTGATGCAAACATATGCAAACATGGCATCCTCACACCGAGGCAGACACCAGAAAGGTGCGCAGAAACAACATGGGTTGCGCAAAACCACCCCTGAAGCACATGTCATTCGGACAACGTCCAGGTACAAAGCCTTACACCGACCTTTGGCGTCTTTTGGCTCGAGTTTCGCTCAGCGAAGGTTCACGAGGCCGAGAAGTTCGTAAGGGCAATGCATTCTGAGTACCAGCGATGTCGTTTGTAAATGTCTCGTTCCGTAAAACTACTTTGTACTAAGATGAACTTCCTAAACAGTTTATCAAGTAAATCAAGTTCAGGAACGCCTGAAGTGAGAATTGATGCTGGAGTGGTGGTGTGGTGCTCGTCTTTTTTACGGTACGGGTCACAGCCAGCAGTGATGGGTTGAACCGTACCTCTTAACCACTTCCCTCCCTTTCAAGCCTCTCATTCACTCTCACCATCTCTTATTATCTTGGTAAGATTTGGTTAGAGGGTAGCTGTGAGAAGAGATGGCCCTTTCACCAGCTATTTACTCTCAGGATTTCGTTTACAAACTGGTGAAGGGGGATGAAAGGAAATGGCATGTCATGACTCTTTCATCATCTCGTTCTCACTCACCCGCCGTCCATCAGTTCCTGACTCTTTACTATTGGACGTCTCTAGGTGAGTATGAGTCCCTTCCTCATCCTGTCCTTCAATCAGCTTCCACACACCTCCAATCTTAGGTGAGGAGGTAGGTAGAAATGGCTGGGAGAAGGAAGGGAGTGATAGCAGTCAACATTCCAGAGTCGCTCCAAAAACCGTCTATAGTAGATCTCATGTGCGAGAGACAGATATGGCTGTGATTGGGAGCGGAGAGAGCGAGCAGGAAGACCCAACGGATAGACTGGAAAGAAAGTAAGGGATGAGAGCCAAGAATGGAATGTCTTGGCAAGGATGATCATCTAATACTTACAGTCTATCATTATCACTTCATTCTGTGTCTCTTGGTCATGTCGCTTCCAGGTTCTTGGCTACCTCAGTTTCGAGTGACATAACAGATCCTCCAGCCTCTTTTCTCGGTTAACGGCTGGTCCTATTCCTTTCTTCTTTTGTCTTCATCACATCACCTCACCAATTCAACCTTGAAAACAGAGAGGTGACAAGATGGTGAGAGGAGGAGATCATCCAATTCCCTCCAAAATAGACTCCCAAAAAAAGGAACTTCAGATCTTGGGAGGAATGGGATGACACTTAATCATGCAGTTACTCACACCCTATCTTTACAAGATTCGACTCTTCGCCCTCGCCTTGGACTCGCTGAGAGGCTGACGACTCTGTCCACCAGATTCCCCTCTAGGAAGCTTGAGGTCAGCTCCACCTTGAACTGTTCAACAGTAGGTCAAAGGAACCATTCAATAAAGCGGAACTACTGAAGCAGCCAGGTCTATCAGTACATCGGGCCCTTTTTTGGCGTTCCATGCTCGGACACCCCATCCACGCGATCCACAGGCCTCTCGGGATCTCGGCAGACCCAGCACAGGGCTTCACCATCTGGCTCTTCCCCCGAGCTGGGCGGACTCGGGCCAGGCTCTCCTCGCAGGCTTACCACATGCTGTCGATGGACATCCAGGCAGTTGGGATGGTGGCTTATGATTTCGTCCAGCCCTGGAGCCTCTGGATTCTGTCTAAGTATCCTGGACCCAGGCAAATCAACCCGGATTAGGAGGCTGGGTTGCATTTCCTAACTTGCCTGTGCACGATTCAGGCTTCCGCGGACCCTTCGGCATCCTTGCTACGGGCCAGAAGGGTTCTTTCCGCGGTGCATGCTTTGTTCATTTGTTGATCGTTTTCATGCACGTCCTTTCACGGCTTGTGATTTGCAAGCCGTGCTTCTGCGAGTATTGGTGTACACAAACTGAAACAGTTCATATCAAACCGCAAAAGCTCCCGCAAACCTCCCACAAAGAGATCCCTTCGGCATACTTCCGCACGAGCGGCGCGATGCACATGTTTCAACATGTCCCTCTCCCCACTATTTTCAAATCGCGCTGGAACACACAATGCTTACAAGAACCCATGCCTTAGTGAAGGAAATGATCAGGCCTCATGACAGCTCAACCCTGGGGAACCATGATATTTCCCCGAAAGAGGGTTGAGAGGCGACCGGAGAGAAGTGGACATGGATACGAGCCGTAGTCAAATCTCGTCAAGCAGAATGCGTAAATCATTGCAAAAGGCAATCAAGGACGCTCACACGAAACATCCAGCAGCGCACGCGGCATACCCAAAGATTGCTTGGCAGGATCCTTGGAATACGCCCAAAGGCAGCATGTCCTACGCGTTCAAATGTGCCGAGTGAAGCATGTAAAACTCCAACTGTGGGCCATCGTCATGGTTCCCTGAATTGGACGCCTTGTGTTTGCTCCAAAGGCCCTTCTAGTTACAAACACGATCATCCATATAAGCCCCAATCGGCCGGGGTATTCTGAATCGAATGCAAATTCGCGTTCCAACACGATGCGCTTTCCCTTCTGACCATGGCACTAGCACTGTCCATAATAACTAAAGAGCCATGACCATTCTTGGAACGAGTTCAGGGCTTGACCTGGGCAAGAGGGTGAAACGGACCCCGAACCATTCGAAGCCTTGGATACCGGGTCACTCTCTTCTGGTCCCTTGTTTTGGATATGATTCGCTTTGTGGGGACCCCTCGGTGGACATCGTGTGTATCGGTATTTGGCTAGGGCAGCATACATCCCCCCTAAATGGTTTCCATGGGTAGTTTGAGGGTGACACTGTGATATGGCTAGCCTTGCACGCCATGAAACCTAGCGATATGTGCCAAAAAACTCCTGTAGGCCATGGTAGTGTCATTAGAGGAACCCTCAGCATGCCTGTCAAAAATGCCTCGGAAACCTTAAAATGTCTTATAGGAACCCTTAAAATCACATTCCAAGCGATAGCACATCTCACCCTCTCCTCCATCCTCCACCAAGAGTGTGGGGCCGCCTGTGGCCATAACACTTAGCTGCATCTATGGCATGAACGATCAAACAAGTTGGACGCTGAAAGCCGTTCTAGTCTGGGTATGTATGTCATTCCAAAGCGTGTGTGTTGTGCGCGTTGTGAGTGTTGTGCGTGTTGTGCGTGTTGTGCGGGTTGTGCGGGTTGTGCGGGTTGTGTGTGTGTGTCTGTGCTGGTTGGTTGTGGTTGCGGTTGTCGTTGCTGATGATGATTCCGATGATGCTTTATGTAGTCGTTCAGCTGCAGACCAACTCAGTGCTTTTGATGGGCATGCTTGTCCGCTTCGCAACACACACGGATGCCCGTCCGGAAGCGCGTGCTGGCACCAAACACGGCTGGTGCTCCAAGGCTAGAGCTCGGTGCCAAGGTTTTTCTTGCATGAGCCAACGCCTGCCATCACAATCAGAGACCCAGCAAAGATTTGTGATGGGCTTTCATTGGAAATACTTTTGTGGGAATGTGATTTAAAGCATGGTGCTCATGTCCAAACATGGAACCCACCAAGCTCAATTGCATCACGAAGACACGATGCAAGGAATCCAATGGAAATGAACGCACAAAGGCTCAACAACATCTAGGATAACTAGCATGTATCGGATGAGGTCCAAACGAGCATGTGGAGGCAAGGCTTCTCCTGGGTTCACCCTGAAAAACTGATCATAATTGCTGCACTTGCCATCTTTGGTGTTTGGCTTAAAGCTGACCTTTTTCTCCATCTTGCGCAGGCTGCAGGTCGTTTGCTTGTCTTTCCGGCCAAAAGGGAAGGATGAGATGGGCGTTCCAAAGAATAGGCCCTCACAGCACACACGGCACACCGCATTGGCTGGAAGCGGATCCATCACAAAGGAGGGGATGCTCCAGCCGCGGTTGAATTCATCCTACCGCGGCAGCCCGCATCGCCGAATCGCCGAATCGCCTAAACTCTCAGAACAAGGCGGAGACGTCATTGGAACCGGAGCCTGGCGCCCAATCAGACCCAAAAGGAGAAAACCTGCTTGCCTGCCTGCCACCGCCTAATGTACATACAGCGTTGGGGCTGGCCCCCTCGGCGCTGTACATCATGGGGGGGGTCTATGATAGACATTGCCTGCCCGCCTGCCCCTGAAATCAGCAATCCACAATCCCAGTCGAATGGGAAACAAGCGCCAGAAACCTGTGGATGGCTGACTTCGAGCCCTTGTGCCCCACAGCCTTCCCCACTCGTTCTTTGACACCCGGATGCATATGACCCATTGACGGCGTTCCAGTTGCCATTGGCACCAAGATATGCTTGGACCCAGGGGTCAAGAGGGACACCCTCTGAATTTGGGTCTGTATCCCTATGTCCCCTGGACCCATCAAGGGAAGTATGCGAAAGGGCCCCTTCATTGGGTGCGCGCCCCCTCGCCATACATTAATCTCTTCTTGGGGTGAGGCTTCTTCCCAAGAAGCTTCAAATGATGGAAATCGGAACCCTTCCAGTGGACACCGTTCAAGAATTGTCCAGTGCACCAGCAATTGTGCGAGCACAACTCGTCACAAAAACTGGATCCTCCAACTACCCTTAATCATGGGGTATTGCCCCAAACATGCATACATCTATATATATATATGTATGTATTTATTTGTCGATTTATTTATGCATTCATTGATCTATTGTTTTCATTTGTTGATTTATGGATTGTAGGGTGATTCCCCATGTTTGAGGCTAGTTTGAGGGTCCAGGGAGAACCGTCCTGCCAGACCGAGAACCGAGAAAGTAATTCAGCCGCAAATGCCCAAGGGCAGCGCACTCTTGAGCCGTTGCTCATCGAAGCATATGATTCAATGAAATACAGCCAGGTGAATGATTGGTGCTAGTGGACGAAGAATACGTCTACATGTTTTGGGTGCAACCTTATTTATTTCCGTGGTTCATTTTCATCTCGTGTGTGGTGCACAAGTCATGGTGAAGTGATTTGATGATCACGCGAATTAGTCTGATTCGGCTATCTGGTCGAGTCACGGTATCCCAGCACCCAGTCTTCCCAGGCACCTCCTCCGGTCGCTGCACTGCTCCCAAAGAAGTCATGGGAATTGCCAGCACCTCTGCCAAACTGAAACGAGTCCTCCAACCGAGCTCCCGCTTTCCTTGAGTCCAATTCATGTCTAGATGAACGTTGGCTTTTAGTCTGGGTTGGCCACAATTTAACGCTCCAACATCAAAGGAAAAGGGAAACCTTGAAACCACCACTTTGGAGGGTTCCCCGACAAATCCATGTGCCAACAATAATAGTCAGTTCCCCGAAGCCGAATCATCGATGTAGGTTGCCAGCCCGCGGTTGGCCAACCAGTTTTCCCATGCCGGTGACAGCTGGATCTTGCGCGCTGCCAAACAAGGATCCGTATCTCAAGTAAGTGATCTTCATCATGAATGAGCTCGTCAAGCTGAAATCCTTACTTGTTCACATTCCAGCTTTCATCCCGCTCCCGGCCTCCCGTAGCTGCCTGCGCAAAGCTGGAGCTCGGCTCCCAACTTTCTCAAGCGGGTGGCAACACAAGCTTGGACATGCAAGTCATAGACTTGGATATCCCGTCCCAACAGAAACAGATCACCTTAAGGAATGAATGGACATATCCCTTATCCGGAGTGCCGGCAAGTTCTCACTCATTCACGCCTGTCCGAAGGGTCCCGCCCCATTGGGCACGGCCGGTGCTCCAAACCTGGCGACCGAGTTTGGAAGATCTGTGAATGTTCAATTGGCTTTCTGAGGTCCCTTGGTAGCTAAGGAGATGACCCCAAAGTGGGGCTCAAAATGTTGACCCTGAGTTACAATAAAACCCTGGAAATTTCAAGAGGTCGACGCCGCTCCCCATTTCTGGCTGGGATTGTCCCCCATCGGATCTGTGTTTCGGCTCTGACCTTCCCAGGGCCTTCGAGGCAGAACTCTTGAGTGGCAAGACTATGTCATCAAGCAACAACACCCTGACCTTGGTACCGTCGATTCTAGGGAGATACTTTACCCACCATTACCCACCCCCAAAAGACCGCCCTAAAAGGGTACTTGGACCTTCTGGGAGCTACAAGTACACACCCACACACACCTTCTTCGCTTCGTCTGGCTTGGCGGTCAAACGTCTCTGCCAAGACACACAGAGCCGGCCCCAGCATCATCGAACCAGCTGGATGTATCCAACGGAGCTGTGAAGGAGGCAGCGCCTGACTACCCACTCACTAGCTTCAATTGGCTCAGCAAGGATCTTGGCTTGCAAAAGGATATCTCGGCATCTCTTAACGATTTGAGCAGTCCTTCAGAATCTAGACAATCTGATGGCCTTTTGGGTGCTGTGCCAAAGCTTTTTTTAGTTTGCTGCCAAGTTCCCCATAGTTTTCTTTGTCTGGGGTTGGGTGGCTGAAAATTCGAAGGCTGCTTGTATTTCGCCCAGAGGCAGGGTGATATCCAGGTAAAGCCTCGTTAGTTTGAACAATGGATCGCATACTAGGTGTGTCATCTCAGGGAAAGCAGTCACGCAATGTTCTCAGCTACAGCTGGAGTTTGAGCAAACGGAAGAGTTTTGGTCATTTCTCTCTGGTCAACAACTGGAACCTGCCATGGCCAACGTGACATCAGGCCCCAACCCTAGGGTCCTTTTCACACCCCCAAGCAAGTACTCCACTGCATTTCAGCTCCCTTCCAATTGGTGGCTTGGAGCGGTGCGGTGATTAGGGGTTTCCCATTTACCCACAAGAGCCAGGGAGTCAAAACCCCAATCCAAACGGTCTCTGTCTCGAGGCCATCCCGCAAAAACACCAGCGGGGAATGAATCGCCGTCCCAAACTCGGCCCGACTCCCGAACAGAAAACACAAGAGGCATGCCAAAATCGGTCAAATGTTCAATGCAATTCCCTGCTTCCAGAAACACTTCGCCGCAGCTGGGTCCCATCTCGCCCCCTAGATTTCACCCTTGACAATCACTTCGACAGCTCGCTCGAAATCGGCCACAGAAGGCAGTGGTTTAGGCACCCAAAAGATGTCCACCTCCCCATGCCCATCTCCGGGGCACCTCCTGCGGCCTCGGATGAAGGCCGGTGTGGAACCCACACGTAAGACGCCAGGCCCCTTTCTTTGAGGCTTTTGGGGGTTGATGGGAAACCGAATTGAAGGTAACAATTTTCCTTTCCGGGGTGGGGGGGGCATGCAGAGACCACACCAAACCCGGCTTCTATGGAAACTGATGTGTCCGATTGATTTGTTCCACCAATCTGAATGACTCATTTGTCTAGACGATATAACGGGTAAACTCCACACACACACACACATGTTGTAAATGTGCCACAACTGTAGTAGGTTGCTGTACGTGCTTGTTAATGCACTCAATGACCGGGATACATATGCTTGATGAAAATACGGGCTCCCAACCGGCTATCTCCCAATGATGGGGCTGCACCCCAAAGCAGCCTGTTCAGCATGTTGTTTCGGTGATTTCTAAAAGGGATCCAAGACAAAAGCGGGGGCCCTTCAATGGAGCACCTTCAGCCCAAAACCGACCTCTTGACGATTGCAAGTCGAGCTGCTGCCACTGACGCGAATAGCCCTGCACCCGTCTCGTCCACTTGCGATGCATCTGCTGCCCCAAAGAGACCGGAAGCATCCTGAGTAGTGCTGGGCCCCTGGTCAAACCAGCTGGACGTGTCCACAGCTGCCGCCTTGAAGGGATCCGCCGCGCCTGCGAAGCAGCAAGTACTTGGTTTGATTGATGTTACGTCGTCGTATACCAAGCTAACATTTCCTATTGCCCACACGCCTCCATACAAGACCAGTTGTTTTTTAGTGTTTGCGATACCTCTGGGAATCTGTCACAACTATGCAGAAGAAAACAAACACCAATGCTGCAAGGCCCCAGCAGTCTGCGCCTCCTGCAGTGGCTGGTGCCTTAGTTGTCGCTGAATCCTCAACATGACAAGCAATGACAAGTGCCTGCTGAGCCTTTCACTGCGTCCCAAAATGACATCCCTTCATCCAGTCATAGCTCAGAACCGCTAAGCCAGCTGAGCAGCTGGAGCAGAGCTGAATGCGCCGTCTGTCTGCTCGGCTTGTGCTGGAGGCGTCGTTGGACTGGGTCCAAAGAGACCAGACGCATCCTGTGTCGCCGTGCTGGGCCCCTCGTCAAAGAGACCGGAAGCATCCTGAGTTGTGCTGGGGCCCTCGTCAAAGAGCCCAGAAGTGTCCTGCGTCGCCGTGCCCTGGTTAAACCAGCTGGACGTGTCCACGGCGGCTGGCGGCTTGAAGGGGTCCGCCATACCTGCGATGCAGCTCGGCTTGATTCACTTCTGCATGCCAAAAGCTTGCTGGTGATGACTCAATTTGAAGGAAACAAACAAAAACAAGCCCAGGTGGTATCCCCAACAGCACGAAACGCCCTGGAGAACCCTCTGGATGCTGCTCCGAACCACTCCGGAGCCTATCTAAGCAGAAATCCGATCCCTGTGCATTCAGCTATTGGCGAAACATGGGCTAGACGACCTGTGATATTGCACGCATCTGGTCGCTGTTGGCAAACTGCAAACACCCGCAAACACCTCAACCCAACTGCCGGCCCCTGTGCCTTGTGCAGTTGCCGCTGCCTCAGTTGTGCCCAAATGCTGGCATGCTCCTAATGCGACACGATCAAAAGGATTAGGCACTGATTAGCTCAACATGTTCGAAAAGCAGGCTGAGCTGCTGGGGCAGAGCTGGCCGCGCCGTCTGTCTGCTCCGTGGCTTGTGCTGGAGGCATCGTTGGGCTGGGTCCAAAGAGACCAGACGCATCCTGTGTCGCTGTGCTGGGCCCCTCGTCAAAGAAACCGGAAGCATCCTGAGCCGTGCTGGGCCCCTGGTCAAACCAGCTGGACGTATCCGCGGCTGCTGGCGGCTTGAAGGGATCCGTTGTACCTGCAATGCAGCAAGTGCTCCAATTGAATTTGGTTGATGTGACTATCTGCAACATGTGCAACGGCAACTTGAACGATTTGTTGCTCAGAAACAGATGCTAGCATCTGCAAAGCAAACACTATGCAAGACGAGCTAGCAACGTTCAACTACGGAGTTCCCTTTCGTCTGGCGAATTTAAGGAAGCAAACACCAAGCATGTTGGACGTCCTGAGATACACCTTCGGTGAGTTGGTCTCAAATGATTTCAACATGCTACTGCCTACTCTTCAGATCCACACAGTAAATCCACACACGTAGATTATCAACGTTTACCCTGTTACACCTCTCCATATAGTTCACTAGGGACCAGGAAATTTACACTGCTCTACAATCTGCTCAACACATTTCAGCACCGGAAAAATCCCGACCTGTCCAGTTGGACCACCTCTCAACAGGCTCACCTCGATATAGTTATCAATAGTCTGCATCGGTTCCTTGCTTGTCCGCTCCAAATGCACATTCCATCTCACAAACTTATCACCAACATCTTAGTTGCGAGTGGGAATGTGGTGCAATACATCCACCTGCCGGCCCCTGTGCCTTGTGCAGTTGCCGCTGCCTCAGTTGTGCCCAAATGCTGGCATGCTCCTAATGCGACACGATCAAAAGGGTTAGGCACTGATTAGCTCAACATGTTCGAAAAGCAGGCTGAGCTGCTGGGGCAGAGCTGGCCGCGCCGTCTGTCTGCTCCGTGGCTTGTGCTGGAGGCATCGTTGGGCTGGGTCCAAAGAGACCAGACGCATCCTGTGTCGCTGTGCTGGGCCCCTCGTCAAAGAAACCGGAAGCATCCAGAGCCGTGCTGGGCCCCTGGTCAAACCAGCTGGACGTATCCGCGGCTGCTGGCGGCTTGAAGGGATCCGTTGTACCTGCAATGCAGTGAGTGCTCCGGTTGATTGATGCTACCTTCAACATGCTCAACGGCGACTTAACCGTCTGGAAGCTACAAACAATGCAAGACGAGCTACCACGGGCTACATCCTGACACTGCTAGCAATGTGTTAAAATTACGGAACTCCCTGTCGCCTTCTTTGCCGGCGCGCTTTGGGTTAACAAGAAACTGATATAGACATGCAGAAAGCAAGGATCTGCAAAAACACCCACAGGTTGCAAGCTTCTGCCAGCCCCATATGCCTGCTGCAGTTGCAGCTGCCTCAGTTGCCGCCAAATGCTCAAAATGCTCAAAATGCTTCTGACACAACATGATCAAGAAGGATAAGATACTGGCTAGCTCAACATGTTCGATAAGAAAGCTGAGCTGCTGGGGCAGAGCTTGCGACGTCTGTCTGCTCGGCTTGCACTGGAGGGGTTGTTGGGCCGGCTCCAAAGAGACCGGAAGCATCTTGAGTCGTGCCGGGCCCCTCGTCAAAGAGACCGGAAGCATCATGAGTTGTGCTGGGGCCCTCGTCAAAGAAACCAGAAGTATCCTGCGTCGCCGTGCCCTGGTTGAACCAGCTGGACGTGTCCACGGCTGCTGGCGGCTTGAAGGGATCCGTCACGCCTGCCATGCAGCAAGTGCTCAGTTTGATTCACCTTACTACCTGCAGACTTCACCATCTGCAAGTCAAAAAACAAAAACTACCCCACACGAGCTGGCAACGTCTTACAGCCTGACACGGCCGGACACAAGGGTCCTGGCTAGACGACCTGTGATGTTGACATTCATCTTTCTGCTGTTGGCAGACCGCAAGGGCCTGCAAACACCTACAGTACAACCAGCTGCAAGCTTCTGCCAGCCCCATGTGCCTGCTGCAGTTGCAGCTGCCTCAGTTGCCGCCAAATGCTCAAAATGCTTCTGATACGACATGATCAGGAAGGATAAGATGCTGCCTAGCTCAACATGCTCGATAAGCAAGCTGAGCTGCTGGGGCAGAGCTTGCGACGTCTGTCTGCTCGGCTTGTACTGGAGGGGTTGTTGGGCCGGCTCCAAAGAGACCGGAAGCATCTTGAGTCGTGCCGGGCCCCTCGTCAAAGAGACCGGAAGCATCATGAGTTGTGCTGGGGCCCTCGTCAAAGAAACCAGAAGTATCCTGCGTCGCCGTGCCCTGGTTGAACCAGCTGGACGTGTCCACGGCTGCTGGCGGCTTGAAGGGATCCGTCACGCCTGCCATGCAGCAAGTGCTCAGTTTGATTCACCTTACTACCTGCAGACGTCACCATCTGCAAGTCAAAAAACAAAAACTACCCCACACGAGCTGGCAACGTCTTACAGCCTGACACGGCCGGACACAAGGGTCCTGGCTAGACGACCTGTGATGTTGACATTCATCTTTCTGCTGTTGGCAGACCGCAAGGGCCTGCAAACACCTACAGTACAACCAGCTGCAAGCTTCTGCCAGCCCCATGTGCCTGCTGCAGTTGCAGCTGCCTCAGTTGCCGCCAAATGCTCAAAATGCTTCTGACACAACATGATCAGGAAGGATAAGATGCTGCCTAGCTCAACATGCTCGATAAGCAAGCTGAGCTGCTGGGGCAGAGCTTGCGACGTCTGTCTGCTCGGCTTGTACTGGAGGGGTTGTTGGGCCGGCTCCAAAGAGACCGGAAGCATCTTGAGTCGTGCCGGGCCCCTCGTCAAAGAGACCGGAAGCATCATGAGTTGTGCTGGGGCCCTCGTCAAAGAAACCAGAAGTATCCTGCGTCGCCGTGCCCTGGTTGAACCAGCTGGACGTGTCCACGGCTGCTGGCGGCTTGAAGGGATCCGTCACGCCTGCCATGCAGCAAGTGCTCAGTTTGATTCACCTTACTACCTGCAGACGTCACCATCTGCAAGTCAAAAATCAAAACCAACCCCACACGAGCTGGCAACGTCTTAAAGCCTGACACGGCCGGACACAAGGGTACTGGCTAGACGACCTGTGATGTTGACATTCATCTTCATGCTGTTGGCAGACCGCAAGGGCCTGCAAACACCTACAGTACAACCAGCTGCAAGCTTCTGCCAGCCCCATGTGCCTGCTGCAGTTGCAGCTGCCTCAGTTGCCGCCAAATGCTCAAAATGCTCAAAATGCTTCTGACACAACATGATCAAGAAGGATAAGATACTGGCTAGCTCAACATGTTCGATAAGAAAGCTGAGCTGCTGGGGCAGAGCTTGCGACGTCTGTCTGCTCGGCTTGCACTGGAGGGGTTGTTGGGCCGGCTCCAAAGAGACCGGAAGCATCTTGAGTCGTGCCGGGCCCCTCGTCAAAGAGACCGGAAGCATCCTGAGTTGTGCTGGGGCCCTCGTCAAAGAGCCCAGAAGTGTCCTGCGTCGCCGTGCCCTGGTTGAACCAGCTGGACGTGTCCACGGCTGCTGGCGGCTTGAAGGGATCCGTCACGCCTGCCATGCAGCAAGTGCTCAGTTTGATTCACCTTACTACCTGCAGACGTCACCATCTGCAAGTCAAAAATCAAAACCAACCCCACACGAGCTGGCAACGTCTTACAGCCTGACACTGCCGGACACAAGGGTACTGGCTAGACGACCTGCGATGTTGACATTCATCTTCATGCTGTTGGCAGACCGCAAGGGCCTGCAAACACCTACAGTACAACCAGCTGCAAGCTTCTGCCAGCCCCATGTGCCTGCTGCAGTTGCAGCTACCTCAGTTGCCGCCAAATGCTCAAAATGCTTCTGACACAACATGATCAGGAAGGATAAGATGCTGCCTAGCTCAACATGCTCGATAAGCAAGCTGAGCTGCTGGGGCAGAGCTTGCGACGTCTGTCTGCTCGGCTTGTACTGGAGGGGTTGTTGGGCCGGCTCCAAAGAGACCGGAAGCATCTTGAGTCGTGCCGGGCCCCTCGTCAAAGAGACCGGAAGCATCCTGAGTTGTGCTGGGGCCCTCGTCAAAGAGCCCAGAAGTGTCCTGCGTCGCCGTGCCCTGGTTGAACCAGCTGGACGTGTCCACGGCTGCTGGCGGCTTGAAGGGATCCGTCACGCCTGCCATGCAAGCAAGTGCTCAGTTTGATTCACCTTACTACCTGCAACGGCAGGACCAGTCATTGGTCACCTGCAACAGGCACAGAATGTGGCACCGAGGAACCCAGGATTTGTTTCACACCCAGGGCCATTCGACCTTCAGCACCAGCCCTTCCGCGCCTCCGGTTGCCTGAGATGTCACCTCGGCATGGGAACGGCAGCGTGCGCAGCTTGATATGTGTGATCCTCTATAGGTCGAACTGAATGTATCCCACCCCATCTCTTCGCACTTACAAGCAACTTACGCGGTGCAGGATAACCATTGTTCTGCGTAAATGTCTGTGCTTATCAATCTTTGTACCGGAACAACGCAGGTTGCATCCAAACTCCGAACAAGATGTTCACAGATGTGCGGTCTATCTTGTCCTGAGCAAGTGAGCGCTTCACAACATGTTCCGTAAACATGTGCTCTTCTCAAGTAAGCTCTGGTAATGTGTTCTGTGTGGGTTCCTCTATGCAAGTAAGGTCTGTACAATATGCGCTGTGTCAGTTCACTCTTGTCAAAAGACTTCTGTGCAAGCAGTCAGTAAGCTTTTCCCTCTGCAGCTGGGCTCTTTGCACGGTGGTCGGTGTAAGTTGCCGCTTCGCAAGTAAGACTTAAAACATGTTCTGCCAGGTGTACGTCACAGTTAGACTCGTTGATCCGTGAAAGCATATGTTTTTTGCAAAGGCACATTGCAGCTGGCATGTGCAAGTCAATCTACGGGTCTGTGATCAGTGGAAGCTGTTCAATGTGTGTTGCGCCTCTGTCTGAGAAGCCGTGCTGCTGGCTGAAACCCACTGTGGCATGCCTTCAATGACAGAAACCACTGCCAACCTAAGCCAGCCAAGCAGCCGGAGCAGAGCTGGCTACAGCGTCTGTCTGCTCTGCGGCTTGTGCCGGAGGGACTGTTGGGCCGGGTCCAAACAGAGCAGAAGCATCCTGTGTCGTCGTGCTGGGCCCCTCGTCAAAGCAGCTGGACGTGTCCACAGCTGCTGGCGGCTTGAAGGGATCCGTTGTGCCTGCGTAACGGCCAGCGGTCAAAACGCCGCCTTCAACCATGCTGCATTCCACATCCAACATGATACATCTTCGCACTGCGGTCTTTGGCAGACGGGCCATGTTGAGTTCCAAAGCACCCTGCAGTCACCGGTCCAACCCTTCTGTGCCTCGCGCGCTTGCCGCCGCCTTGGATGTAGCCAAATGCTTTTAGAGCGAAACGATGAGGAACGACAAACCACCTCTTGCGTTGTCATCTCGTTCAACTCAATCATGTAAATGACATACCAAAAGCCCTTACCGCACCCAACTGTCACAGGAAGCCAAGCTGCTGGGGCAGAGCTGGCTACAGCGTCTGTCTGCTCTGCGACTTGTGCCGGAGGGACTGTTGGGCCGGGTCCAAACAGAGCAGAAGCATCCTTTGTTGTGCTCGGCTGGGCAAACAAGCTGGACGCGCCCACGGCTGGCGTGTTGAAGGTCTGCGTCGTGCCTGCACAACTCAGGGTCCCTGGTCACAACATCCTAACGTCATGTTTAAACCTCCTTCAACCTCTCCACTGTGGCGCGCCTTTCCCAACAACTGCCATGTGGAGCGTTCTGAATTCTACAATTTTTAACAACCTACGTCCACCATCCTCACACTGCAGTCTTTGGCAGATGTCTGCAAGTTTCAAAGCAGACTGTGGTCACGGGTCCAACCCTTCTGTGCCTCCCATGCTTGCCGCTGCCTTGGATGCATTCAAAGCCCTCATGCGACAAAATAAGAAACCAACATACTGTTCAAATTGACATTGCTTTCAATTCATCAAGATGTAAATAACGCGATGCCCAAAGTCCTTCCCGAACTCCGCACGCCCTCGCAAAAGAGAACTGCCACAAACAGCTAAGCAGCCGTGGCAGAGCTGGCTACAGCGTCTGTCTGCTCTGCGGCTTGTGCCGGGGGGACTGTTGGGCCGGGTCCAAACAGAGCAGAAGCATCCTTCGTCGTGCTGGGCTCCTCGTCAAACCAGCTGGACGTATCCACAGCTGCTGGCGGCTGGAAGGGATCCGCGGTACCTGCGTAACGGCCGCCGGTCACAACAACACCAACTCATGTTTGCGAAACTTCAACTCTTCCACTGCAACGTGCTGTTGCTAACATGTCATCACAAGCACTAAAACACAGCCTGCATTCCACATCCAACATTATACATCTTCGCACTGCGGTCTTTGGCAGACGGGCCATGTTGAGTTCCAAAGCACCCTGCAGTCACCGGTCCAACCCTTCTGTGCCTCGCGCGCTTGCCGCCGCCTTGGATGTAGCCAAATGCTTTTAGAGCGAAACGATGAGGAACGACAAACCACCTCTTGCGTTGTCATCTCGTTCAATTTAATCATGTAAATGACATGATACCAAAGCCCTTACCGCACCCCCTCGCAAAAGAGAACAACTGCCACAGGCAGCCAAGCTGCTGGGGCAGAGCTGGCTACAGCGTCTGTCTGCTCTGCGACTTGTGCCGGAGGGACTGTTGGGCCGGGTCCAAACAGAGCAGAAGCATCCTTTGTTGTGCTCGGCTGGGCAAACAAGCTGGACGCGCCCACGGCTGGCGTGTTGAAGGTCTGCGTCGTGCCTGCAATGGTCATGACGCAAGCAATTTGTTCTGCCTTCAACAAGGATCCAACGGCTCTTGTTGGTCTGCATTTGCCAAGCTGTCCGCTCACCAGGACTGGTTCTAGGTTGGTGCTCACCTGCCTGCCTTTTTGAACAAGATACTCCGCCGGACCGTGCGCCGATTTGCATCCTGCAGCTTTTTCAGGCTGCAAGCCTCACGCCCAACCCTGCCTCCTGCTGATGGTGCTGCCTCAACATCGCACATGCAACATGCTGAAGGCGACATGTCGTCAAGCCACATAACACAAAAACACTTGCTACAATTTCAGTAACCTTTACAACATCGGGTGCAACACTAGCACTTAAGACCGTTGGCTGACATCCCGACTTCCCGTGGCCATGCCATAGGATTGAAATCCAAAAATCAACACGCAGGCCGCTTGGTTCTAAGGTTGCGGCAGGTGAAACTGTTAAGACGCATGGAACTCCTAGGGCCGCCCCCGCGTGGCTACCTCTGGCCCAAGAAGGGTTTCTAGAACCTTCTTAGGGGTTCTCAGAAGAGTTCTGAGAACCACGGCGGGACGGGGGAAATGTAATGATTAGGCCATGGGCGGTTCCAACTGCGTTTCGGCCCGTGGAGCAACCACCTTGAAAGCATCCGGCCAGGCTGCCGGAGGCTGGGCTGCATCCGTCTGCTCCGGCGCGCCTCCCAGCTGGGGGGCTGGCTTTGGGCCTGGAAGTTGGATCTGCCGCGCTTACAAGTCACTTGTGAACTGGGAGGCTTGGGCGGGGGATCTCAACTGGACCTTGTCTGCAAATCAAGGAAGCGCTTATGCAATGAGCAAATGGTGAGCCCTAAACCAAATAGGCCTCATGCCGGCAGCTTCAGAATGAAGCCGAATAAGTGTGACAGAGTTTGCCGCAAGTGCACACAAACGGGTCAGACCAGAATTGTTCACAGTGAATCCCTGTCAGCCCGTGTGCTATGGCAGCTTCGATTGGATATCCCTTGCCATATATGGAATCATTGGTAGGGCTTGACTACTAGGACTTTAGAAAGCTTGCAACACTGTGAGTCCAGAGAGTAGGTGAAACCTCCATGATGGCAACTAGGAGCCCCAGGGTTATGTGACTTTGTTTATTTGAAACATTTGAACCCAGCCC